ACCCGGGAGGCGGAGCTTGCAGTGAGCTGAGATCCAGCCACTGCACTCCAGCCTGGGCAACAGAGCGAGACTCCGTCTCAAAAAAAAAAAAAAAAAGAATGTCTCTTGAACAGACTTATTGCCCCCATGTTTCTTAAATATAATCCTCATTTATTGCATTTAAATCTCCATCAATATTCTTCTTTATTTTATTTGGGTATGTATTATTTTCTAACTATTTAAATAAAATATTTAGGCCAGGTGCGGTGGCTCACGCCTGTAATCCCAGGACTTTGGGAAAGCGAGGCGGGCAGATCGCCTGAAGTCAGGATGCACATAACACTTTTGGCAGAGCCATTCCCACACCAGTCAGGAGGTCGAGACCAGCCTGGACAATATGGCAAAACCCCGTCTCTACTAAAAATACAAAAATTAGCTGGGTGTGGTGACAGATGTCCTTAATCCCAGCTACTTGGGAGGCTGAGGCAGGAGACTCACTTGAACCTGGGAGGTGGAGTTTGCAGTCAGCTGAGAGCATGCCACTGCACTCCAGCCAGGGCAACAGAGCGAGACTGTCTCAAAAATTAAATACATAAAGAAAAAAATATTTAGTTCATTTGACATATTTTTTAATAATAAAAGTGTTTGAACCTACTATTTAATCTCAACTTAGCTTTGGCCGTAGGCTATGGTTTTTAACATTGTGATCTCATTCAAACTACATTCTCACATTTCACCCTCCGAGATGTAATGGATTCTTGAAACTAAAGTGCAAGCTTAGGGCATGACAACAATAAAAGGTGGCTCTGCTGAAGTGAATGTCAGTGCTCTGGCCAGAGAGCTGCTTGGATTTCAGTTGCTGCCTGGGCAGGACTGGATAATGGAGCTTCTACCTGGACTTCGTTCTAGTGAAGTTGCCAGCATCAACAGACTGTGCAGAAAGGCTCTCCTGCGGCACACAACACACTACGCTTCTGGCAGAAGGGTTGTCCAGTGCTGTACCTGGGCCTGTCGATGGAGACCACCCTGAGAGATTACACTCGGAAGGCTTAAAGCCTTGGGTGTGATGCATGGGTCTAAAACGAAGCACAGGCTAGATCTTGGAGCCTAACTGTACATCTACTAAAATGGTATCATCTTCCTCCTGAGGAATGAAGAGGTTCAAACCCCCCCCCCCACTCCACCGCCAAAATCAAATTAATGGGAGTAGGAGTTTGGGTAGGTGGGGTAGTGGGACAAAATAAAGCCTGGGATAGCCTGTAAGTGGGGAAAGCAGGCATGCACATGTGCAATGAGATAGATGGGTCAGTAGCTTGATGGCTTCCTAATAAGGTATGTGCCCATGAGCCTGAGATTCTGACCTTCAAAGTAATAACAAAAAGGACCAAAGACACTGTGAGAAATGAGAGGAAGCTAGTACTTGGGAGGCATCCACAACTACCTTGACCCAAGGCTCAAGACCTGGGGCGGAGCTCTAATGCTGTCCTGAGGGTCATGGGATAAATACATCTTGCTGGGTGTCTCCAGGGAAACCCCTATTTGAGATGGGCAATAAGTCCTCTCAGGGCCAGCAGCTTAGCGGAAAAGTGTGAAGACTACAAAAATATATCTCAACGACTCATTAAATCAAAATTCTGTAAATAGAAGTTCTGTGAATAGATACAGAATATATATGGAGAAGCTGTAACTTAAAATATTCTGGAGCAGACAGTTTTGCTGGTGGGTTACTTCGAACTCTGTAATGTGGAACAGATTACACAGCTGTGGAATAGGCTGTTCTTGGCAGACCCAGGAACAGGAGGAGAGGCCAGTCCCAGCCTTGGTTTCCATAGTGAATAGAGAAAGGGGGGTTACCCCAGAGCCTCTAGTGGGCAGTGCGCATGCTCGCAGTGCAGGGGCCCAGAGGCCCTGGATGAAATGTGAATCCTCTGGCTCTTCCCTGTCCACATACGCAGCAGCCTCCACCTTGGAGCCCCTAAACGGGCCCCAAATGCCTTTCAGGCCAAGGATCTTAAGCAGAGAATTCACTTTAATGTGTTCAGTAAATATTGAGCAATACCTGTCATGTGCCTGAAATATTTGCATTTCAGAAAAGTAGCTCAGTCTGAGGGAAAAACCCATTGCAGCTGGGCCCCTGTTTTTGTTAGAAAACATTAAGAAGTGAGGACAGGCAGTGCTGCTTTACAAAGTTGGGAGGGACTGGCCCCTGGCCTCTCATCCCCAGCCTCCCTAGGGGGCCACTGCTCTTGCTCATCCATTCGCGGTCCATCGCATTCCCTGAAATGGGAGACCTTTCAGTCCTGCCCAGCCCCAAGGAGCAGCTCTCTCAGATAGTTAAAGAGACTAGGGTGTCTTCTGAAAGGTCACCTGCATACAGAGTAAGGTTAGAGTTTGGGGCAGCTGGACAAGCAGAGGCAGAGAGTCCTTAGGGGCCCCTTCCCAGGAATCCATGTGATGGGCGATGGCTTGCATTTCATCTTCATTCGTCAACTGTTTACTAACATTACATTACATGTCAGGCCTTGTGCCTGGGGATACAACGAGAAGAGACATGGTCTCTGTAATCTGTAGTGAGGCGAAGTGGTGGAGATAAAGAGTTAAAAGAAAAAACAAATGCCTAATCAGATAATCATATGTCATGATGCATATCGTGAAGGAACAGCAATATTATCACCGAGAGGGGGACAGAGGGAGCTGAGGTTCAATAGAAAGGCCAGTGAAGATATAAGTAGCAATGGAAGGTGAGGGGAGACTGTGAAT